AATTAACAACTTCTAAGACTAAGTCACAGAAGAAGACGAGTAATGATATCAATTTCAGAAAGGATAAAGGATGAAAGGACACTTGTGTGCGTGTGTGTTGCTTACATGGATAGGGACATTTTCTTCTGTCTTAACGTTAATAGTGGCACTTGGTGTCTGTGAAAGAATGAATGGGGACTCAGACTAGTTAATGTATAGAGATTTTATTACTCTCTAAATTAAACCATATTTTATTACTCTCTAAATTAAACCATATGTTTAAACCATATACTGGACATTTTCTGTGTTCCTCTTCTTGAGGGTAAGGAATATCTTCAAGACACGTAGTAAAGACTTCACAAACAAACATTTGGTAAACTGATGAGTAACCCTGACATTTGCTTTCTGGTTAGGAATATTATTGCTTCCTGGTCAGAAATATTCTTTAAAAGAATTTACATCAGAAAATATACCATACATCATGATTAATTTTTGTTTTAAATTAGAGGCCATGGTTTTAGTTTGAATTAAATAAAGCTCAGAACTAGATATTAGCTGTTATTTTCTTCTGTAAGCCTTCTGTGTTTATACCCTATTTCCAAATTCCCAAGTAATCTAAACTTCCATGGTAGCAGGACACAGTGAAGAATGGTGACAGCCTGGAGAACCGTAAAACCTCAAAAAGCACCACTGTTATATCCACAAAAGTATCCTAAAAAGTTTTATTCGAAAATATGACAATCATTTTCATCTTATAATGTGGTTCCTTTCTTGAAAATTAAATCAACTATCTACTATCACTAAGTCAACCTTATTTGTATACACAATCACCAATATACTTCTGCTAAGTCTTATATGTTTTTTAATCTTGAATGTTTACTTCTCAATTAAAAAGAAAATTGACAAGGCTAAATCCAATTAGCATCCATTTCAAGCTAATCTTTGTTTCCATTTTAATTTCCTAAGGCACGCTGATCACAGGTTTCAGCACTATGGTACTTGTTTCCCTATAATTTTTATGAAATGAGAAGTCAAAACTTTGTTTTAGCAACAGAATTCTCTTATTAGATAAAATTTACCCACCCAGGACCCAAACGTAGAGAGCTAGAGAAAACGCAATTGCTTTAGAAGAGACTCGAGTGAAATAAGAATCGCCCAAAACAAGAGCGCCACCTGCTGGTCAGCCATTCCTCAGCCCGCTGCTCCTAGGCACTAGAGAACGTATTTCATGGAGGGCTTAGGTAAAATATCAGTATAAACTCTGTGCAGAAGTGATGGTAACTCCCAAAACAGAATTTTTTTCACTGACAGAAAGCACCATCATATGAGAACTCAAATTATATAAAAGTTAAAATTTGCTATACAAAAGTGTAGTTAATCACGGCTGGGTTAAATATACCATGAGCTACCTGATAATGCCTATAACTTCAAAAGCCACCAGGTTATGATTGAAAATCAAACAAGGTGGGGGGCAAGTACATGAGCCAGATCTCCTCTCAGGGACAGGATTATACATCGTCTACAAGACATCAGTTGAAGCTTACCTGAGTAACAATATGATCTTTAAGAAGAGTGACTTCAATTAATTTCAGGGCTTTTCTTTTGCTGAGTGGAATAATCAATCTGGGATTTAGAACTAAATTTTTTTTAAATATTTATTTTTAGTTGTAGTTGGACACAATATCTTTATTTTATTTTTATGTGGTGCTGAAGACAGAACCCAGGGCCTCGAGCACATGCTCTACAGCGAGCGCTCTACCGCTGAGCCACAATCCCAAACCCCTAGAACTAAATTTTTAAAGACAATAATGAAGACACTCATTTCCCATTGCCAACTATGGTTCTCCATGTGGTGTCTAACCTCTCTTAATTATCAAGCACATATTTATCAATTTGAAAGAGTACAAACTGTTAACCTTCCCTGGATGACCAAAGGTCTCTAATCAATGAGTCAAGATACATTAAAGAGCAGGTTGTTTGAAATTTTAAATTTGCACAAGTCAAATACCATCTATAATTTTCTATGACACCTTACTTTCAACCGTAGTCATAAATCTATCTTAACTTCCTAACATAATTAGAAATTCTAAGACAGCAAAGATTTTCTTCTTCTTTTGCTTTATGGAGCCTAGCATACTACCTTTTTTCTTTTGTCCGTTTTATTTTTTAATTTTTATTTCTTCTTTTTAATTATACATGACAGTACAATGTATTTTGACACATCATACATACATGGAGTATAAATAACTTCTCATTTTTGTGGTTGTACATGATGTGAAATTACACTGGTTATGTATTCATATATGAACACGGGAAAGTTATATCTGATTCATTCTGTCTTTCGTATTCCCATTCCCCCTCCCTTTCTCCTTATTCCCCTTTGTCTAATCCAGTGAACTTCTATTTCCCTCCATCCCCAAACCCCGCTTATTGTGAGTTATTATCTGTATATCAGAGAGAACATTTGGCTTTGGGGTTTTTGGGGGGATTGGCATATTTCACTTAGCATAATAGTCTCTAGTTCCATCTATTTACAGGCAAATGCCATAATTTCATTCTTCTTATGACTGAGTAATATTCCATTATGAATATGAACCACATTATGAGTATGAACTACATTTTTTCTATCCATTCATCTGTTAAAAGGCACCTAGGTGAATTGAACTTCTATAAACATTGATGTGGTTGTATTACTGTAGTATTCTGATTTTAAGTCCTTTCGGTACATGCCAAGGAGTGGGATAACTGGGTCAAATGGTGGTTCCAGTCCAAGTTTTCTGAGGAATCTCCACACTGCTTTCCAGAGTGAATTCACCAATTTGCAGTCCCACCAGCAATGTAGCATACTACTTTACACTACTCTCTGCTTTTTAGTCTTATTGTTGGAGCCTAATGCAAGAGCTTATTCCAAAACAATGGCCTCCTATAATTTTAACTTACCAATTGTTACTGAATTGATAAATTGTGCAGCGTGTGTTAGCACACACCTGTAATCACAGGTACAGCGGAGTGTGATGCAGGAAGATCATTTTAGCCAGGAGTTGGAGGCCAGCCTGGACAACATAGTAAGACCCCCATATCTCAAAATAAAAAAGGAATAAATTGCTTATAAATAAATTGCCAGGCCCTTCTAATTTCACCTGTCCAAACTATAATTCAATATTTTCAGTACTTCAATTCCCATCTCCATTTATCTTGAGGTAGACAGATGCACACACCTTTTCTAGAAGATCTGTGTTCATATTGATGGCATATGGTAGCTGCTAGAGATATTTTCCACTTTTTCAGAATAGTAAGACCCTCTCGCCTAAATATCTGAATAGGGATGCAGGGTAATCTTCTGAATTCAAAGTTGGAAACTAGAATTTTCTGCCATAAGATCTGAAAATCAAGAGCTTAAAAAAAGTTCATGGAAAATTCATAGGGAAAAAAAAGGAGAAATCAAAGTCCAAATTTGTGTTTATGGAATTGCAATTTGCAACCCATTTATAAGTTTGGGTAATATTTAATAGGTCCTCAGCCAACAAAATGGAAATGAATTAGGAAATTTTCCAGATGTTATTTAGCAGAAATTCGTGTCTAACTCACGTGTGTGTGTAAAAGAGGGAGAGAGAGAATATCTAGATAAAAGTGAATTTATCATTTATCACCATTCTACCAGGGAGCTCCTAAAGATTTTCCAAATCTTACATATAAATGGCTATTTTATATTCCTAGTTTTTAAAAATGTTCCTCCTTTAAATTTTCAAATTATATCCTCATGACTTGAAAATTTGATTATTTTCATATTTACTTTCTCTAGAGGAAAAAAAAAATCTTCATTCCTTCATCTCACACTTCTAGGGTTCCCATGTCCACATTAAGAACCAAGTTGCTGGAATACATAGATAAGACCCAAATTAAGCAGATGTTTGCTCAAAGAAAGAATGTATCAGATCCTATACAGAGAATAAAGGGCTGCTTTTTCTTTGATTTCTCCTGAATTAAAAATGAAAAAGAAAAAAAAGTGCCAAGTACATAGGAAGGTAGATTTCTCACCCAAATAATCTCAGAGGAGTATGCATTTTCCTTTTTTCTCTAAATGGTACTGTTAAGTACAAACACAAGAAGTCTCCTATTTGGTTTATATTTTGTATAGTGTAATTGTATTACTTTAATACTTTTGTAAGAAGGCATTATCTTCTAACATTAACTCTAGCTAATCTTACTGATAGCCAAGTACAATATGAACCACTTAAATGATTTAATCTATAAGTTTTGCAAACAGATTCTCATAACTACACTGTCCTCTGCATGGTGCCCATCGTCTCCCCAAATTAAATTTTAAGCCAAAGCCTTGGGTTATAATCTTATGAGGAATTCTTTTAAAAGATTATAATTTTATATGTGAGATGCCTCTAATACCCCAGGTTTAGAAAATAAATAAATTGCCTATAAAGAGATATAGAGATTTGAATATTTTAAATAAAGATAACCAAACATAGAAACACAAAAATCATATCAGTAGCCCTCTAAACAGAGATCTTAATGCTCTTCTGCCCTAGTAATTTAACCTTAAATATTAGAAAAAAATCAACATGGAAGATACATTCATTGTAGATGCTAAAGGAGTGGGAAATTAAGAAGCCCTAATATCAAGAGCTAACCATTCTGAGTTGGATTCTGTTTCAAATAGAAGTTCTTAAATATTACCTGGAAAAATCATGTTTGTTTATATCAGATGCTTGATAAACATGAATATTCTCTATCTAGAGAATACTCCCAACACCACAAAACCTAATGCCTTAATCTAAGTATTAATGGGCTATATTTTGCTGCCATATTTTCCATACACTGACTCCAAATTTCATAAAAATTGCTTTAAAAACTCTATTGGGTTTTCTGAGGGATTCTTGAGGTAGTATATTGATACTTGGTTATGCATGAAGTAAGATTTCCTGATCAGATTCACACAGCAGATATTTTTCAAGACCTTTAGTGAAGATATGTTATTTTATTTTTTCAGAGATCATACTTGAAACATGGCTCACAGTGACTTCCTCTATCCAGAGAACCCAAGGAGGAGGCAGGAAGTAAACCGGCTTCACCAGCAGCTCCTTGACTGCTTATCTGACAGCTTCCACGCCACCAATAAGCTGATAGGGGTTCTAAATACACACTTGGGCTGCACACTGGCCTCCACCGAAATGAAGAGAGATGGGACTATCAAAGAAAATTGTGACATCATCATCCAAGCCATAATGAATATCCAAAATGAACTGCAAAAGGTTGATGAAGCACTAAAAGAAAAACTAGAACCAACCTTGTATAGAAAACTTCAGGATATTAAGGAAAGGGAAACAGAGAAGATTGCAATCGTACAAAAGGTTATTTCAGTCATTCTAGGAGAAGCTACATCTGCAGCCAGTGCAGTGGCTGTTAAACTCGTGGGCTCAAATGTCACAACTGGCATAATTAACAAGTTGGTCACTGTGTTAGCTCAAATCGGTGCTTCTCTCCTCGGTAGTATTGGAATTGCTGTTCTTGGCCTTGGCATAGATATGATCTTCCGGGCCATCCTGGGAGCAGTGGAGAAAACACAGCTTCAAGCAGCCATCAAAAGTTATGAGAAGCATCTGGTGGAATTCAAGTCAGCCTCAGAAAAATATCATCATGCCATTACTGAGGTCACAGATATTGTCAAACACCAAATGAAATGAATAACCTTTTGGTTTGCCACTGGAATATTTTTCTGCTTCCCTCTTAATAACAGCATTTCCTTCTTTGATTTTCCATGTTTCCAATATGGATATAAATGGGATAAAGAGTTCAGAAAGGGAAACTGGAGATGTTAAAACTAGATTAATCTTGAGTTTTGACAAATAATGAATGACTGGATCAGCTGGTGCTAGAACCTGTGAGGTAAAAGATGTATATCCCAGGATGTTTTCTCACCCTACTCTACCAGATCTACATAGGAGTAAATGCTATCACAGAGCAGCAGGTGTAAGAATTGCTTTTTTCTTTTTTTTACTTTCCAGTCAAAATCCTTAACATTTACATTGAATGCAGACACTTTCATGTCTACCACTAGCTTCAAACATCACTTAATACTAAGGAAGCATATTAAGGAACTTCTGGCTAGATACAAACCAAATAAAATAAAATAGAAATGCTACCATATTTTTTAACCATTAGATTTAGTCCAGTTTTCTATAGACAGGAAAAGACTGAAAATGGATTATAATGGGCAGAGGTTATAGCTCAGTTGGTGAGTGCTTGCCCTGTATGCATAAAGCCCTGGGTTAAATCCCTAGTACCACAAAAAATAAAAAATAAATGGTTTGTAACAATTGGTTTCAATGATGAGACAATGTATCTGTGAACTTGTACTAATTACACAATGTAATCTGGGTGGATTAAAAAAATGTAATCCATGCTGACCAACTATGATGACTATGATGACAAAGTGTAATTCAGGTATAATTATAATTATATATATATAATTATAATATATATAATATATAATTACAATATATATAATTATAATATATATAATATATAATTACTATATATATAATTACTAGATATATATATATATCACCCCAGCTATATATGCATAAAATGTGCTTGGAATGCAGAAAAGGAACTCACTACTCTTTAAATATTTGTTATGAGTTTTCTGCTACCTGAAACATTAGGTGGCCCATTTCACTAATTACTTGATTTTACAAAAATCCAGAGGCAATGGAGGCCTACTGGGTCAGGTGAATTTCTGTAAATACAAGTGTTCTCTAAATCCTTTATTAACTAATAATTTCTATAAAGACTCTTTTAAAGTCTACTTCCAAAATTGTAACACTGTTGATTCTTACATTCGACTACAAAAAAAGTCTTGAAATAAAGAAGTCTTCTCAAAAAATGTTAATTAGCTACGTGAAAGATTAATCTTGAAACCGTACTCCATTTTCTTTCTCTTCTATTATGACTTTTTTATAAATTAGCTGCAAAATATCACAATTTAGTTCATCTCCAAATGAAATCTTTTTTGGGGGGGCGGGGGGAGGTGGTACCAGGGATTGAACTCAGGGACACTCCACCACTGAGCCACACCCCTAGCCCTATTTTGCATTTTATTAGAGACAGAGTCTCGCTGAGTTGCTTGGCACCTCACTAAATTGCTGAGGCGGCTTTAAACTCCTGATCCTCCTGCCTCCACCTCCGAGCCCATGGGATTACAGGCGTGAGCCACCGCCACCGCGCCTGACCTCCAAATGTAATCTTATTTTCCTTTTTACCACTCTATAAACTTTGACTTAAAAGCTCTTGTTATTGATTTAAGACTCAAATTCAGTCTAAGATCAAATTAAGAATTACCTAAAATAAAGGTTGGGATAGTTTCTATGTTAAGAGCACATTTGAATTTTCTGTCAAAAATTAATAGGTCTCCATCAATGTTTTGAAATAATTATAATTATAATAAGAATTTGCTTATATCTGTTTTCTGTTAATGGACTTGGATTAAGATCACAAATAACCAAGCATGTCTCTTAACAGCAGAATTTTTAAACACTTAACCTACCTTTATGGAGAACAGATGGAAAGGAGTCTTAAGTAAAAAGGTATAGAGGGGAAGGGGGAAGTCTAGACCTAAGTAATTCTGAGTTAGTGACTTCATAAAGGGCTTTCAGCTGGTGAAAAGATGAGATGGGAAGGGAGCCGATACGTACCAATCTCGTCACCTGTAAATTTAAAATTACAGCTGTATCCCTACATGTGCACTTCGCCACTCGTAAATTTAAAACTTACTGCACGTGTATCCCCACATTTTCTCGATCTTGTAGATTATCAATTTGAGCCGCTAATACGGGCATAGATTTATTTGTTGAGGCGAACAAATAAACGAACGTTCTCTGTATTGATAGAGTAGTGAATCCCAGATGCCCCAGGCACCCACATAGAATAACCAGATGCTTACAAAGCACATTAAATTCACTGGCAAGAGTTATTCAACTCGTTTTCAAATGGCGACACTCACAAAAGATTGCGCCCGTTTACTTTATAAGAAATACGAAAATCCAACAATTAACACAATCCCGGGGATAGAAACAGGCCAAAACACCTCCGTTTTCCAAATGCACCGCAACCGCGCGGCTCAACAGACGGAGCTCGCGGTAATTTAGTCAGAACGCCCCCGGCCCGAGAGGCAAAATAAACAGCCAATCAGATATGGACTTTCTTTTACTTATTCCTATTGGACTATAAAGTGTCAATCGACGTGGGAGGGCTCTTAGCCTATAACTAGCCAATGGGGCACTCTTTTATAGCGGAAAAGCCTCTAGTCCTGTAGTTCTTGAGCGCTATCTATGGTTCCACTACAGAACATCGCTAAGAGATCATCGACCTGAGGGATAGGAAGTGACGTAAGGATGGCGGTGGGGCGCGAGGTTTCAAGATGGCGGTGGTTAGGTGGTTGACCGAGAGGCAGAGGTGAAGGCCCCTACGAAGTGAAAGGGGTCCGGAATCGCCCCCTCCCCGCTTCTCGCAGTCCTGGGAGCCCAGCAGTGCTGTGAGTACATGGGATTGCTTTACTCCGCTTCTTCATCTCTCCGGTCCCTTCCTGGGGCCCGCGCGGTTGCCTTGGGGACACCAGGCCCCTTTACCCGGCCCTTCCTCTTCCCAGTTGGGATCTCCCGAGCAGCAGACTGGAGGATTCCTGGGCCTGGCGTCGGGTAGCATCCAGCGGCTACGTGGTTACTTCGCCAGGTGGGTTATTGCCGCTTCCTAAGCACGTTGAGCGGTTGCCTCAGGTTGACGTCTTGTACCTCGAGTCCAGTATCAACCGTCGCTATGGTTTCGGCAGTTGCTGCTGTTGCCTCCTTTGATGGACCTGGGCCCCGTCCCTTGAAGCCTCTTTGACTTTTTTGTAATTCCCCACGGCTTTTCGGCCTGATTTCTCAATCGCCTCCACTTTTAGCTTTTAGGCAGAAAAGTTGTGTAGACTGGGGCTCCACGATTTTCTGTAAAAATTCTGTAATTCATATCTGCCCTGTGTTCCAGTTGTGGGAGAAGAGGGTCAAAATATGGGCCTGAGGTTTAAATGAGAAAGGAAAACACAACAGATAAAGGTACTCGAAGATATAAGAACTTGTACCATTGTGCTGGTTCCCCCATTATCCATTTTATATTCTCCCGCCCCTTCCCCAGGCCCCCAGTTTTTCTGAGAAGGGGACACTTAATATGGTAAAATAATTGCCGCTGGAACAACTGTGAAACATCCAGCAGAAATAGGAGCAGTTGAACACTTGGTGAAACGTGTTGACTGGTCTGACAAAATCTTAAGGGGGCAAAGGGAAGGTAATCAATCCTATTATCTGCCCCAAAATTTGCCCTTTGATCTTCCCTTTCCCACTCTTTAAAAAGTGTCTACTTTCAAAAAGAAAGCTAATTTGTCAGTCTTTATTTTTGGAAAGACTAAGTTTCCCAAAGTAAAACTTCATTTGGGGGGGGGGGGGTTAAAAGAGAAAAAAATGATGTTAATAAAAGTTTTAATTTAGCCGGGCACAGTGGCGCACCCCTGTAATCCCAGCGGCTCAGGAGGCTGAGACAGGAAGATAGTGAGTTCAAAAGGAGCCTCAGCAACCTCGAGGTGCTAAGCAACTCAGATCCTGTCTCTAAATAAAATACACAATAGAGCTGGAGATGTGGCTCAGTGTTGAAGGTCCCTGAGTTAATCCCCGGTACAAAAAAAAAAAAAAAGTTTTAATTTTTAAAAATATTTTCCTTAAACACAGTTATTACTTTTAATTACCTTAAAAAATATAAATCCGGAGTCAAGTAGATTCCAGTAAGAAACATATATCTCAGCGGAGAAGTCTTTGGGATTTCTGTTAATATAATAGAATATTGATTTTGGATATTTACATTTTTGGTTATATTTTAAGCTTTTACGAGAGTCAGTTCTATTCAGATTAGAATTAAATCTAAAGTGAATGGGCCTAAATTAATGAGTTTTTATGTCTCAGGAAATATATAGCACATATGTCAAGAAAAAATGTGGAGAGGGGCAAGGGGAAGATACTGTCTTTAAGCCCAGATTCATTGCCCCCATTTTTCCTTTTTATTCTTTTACCCTACATGTAAATAAAGGAAGAATGTGACAGCTTTTGTTTGTGATTTGTGTCATGTTGTTAGCACATTTCTAGTTGATTTTTTTTTCAATTGACAGTGTTGTTATTTATACAGAAAATGTTAATGAGTTAATGATAAAGTAATCTTCAGACTTGTTATCTTTCTAAAGAATAATAGAGATGTAATTTTTTTGTGGTCAAGAAAGTTGAGGCCATCTTTCTTGGGTACTAAAGTCAAAACTAAGAAAAGATCACAGTCTCACAAAATTCATGATCAAAGGGAAGTTTCTTTCCAGAGATAGGAACACTAAAAAGGAAGAAATATTATCAATATAGGAAAAGTAATCTATTTCTTTGTCTTTACAGGTTTGTTTATTTTTTTTTTAAATGAATAAGTGAACCATACATATTGTCAACATGGGACGGAGATCAACATCATCCACCAAGAGTGGAAAATTTATGAACCCTACAGACCAAGCCCGTAAGTGTCTATCAGTGTGGAATGAAGTAGAGGATATTAAAAATTGCAGTTAATAAGGAACCTGTTTCATTGTGACTTAATTATAAGATGAGTGATAGGAGGAGGAAAT